CCCCCCCCCCCCCATCGCCACCTACTCTGCCCCCATTCGCCAGATGCCACGCCACTTTTCGCACGCCAACGAACAACGACCATGGCCACCGTACGCCACTGACCCGCTCCCTCTCCCTCCCTCCCTCCTCCCCCCCCCCTCCACCCACACACTAACCCCCCCCCCCTCTACCTCCGTGCACAGGGCACGTCCAACTCGTCGTCTTTGTATGTGCGCAAGAACGGGTTCTGGTACGAGGACGGAGACGCAGACATTGCCGAGCTGGGCGCGTCTGACTTGGGCTCGGCGGCTCGGAGGGCAGCGGGCGAACATAGGGACGGCAGCGATGGCGAAAAGAGTGGTGGCGGGGGAAGTGGTGGGGACATACTCTCCAAGCTCAAGAGAAGGTCAAAGAGGCGGTCGCGGTCGGCATCGGCAAGCTCGACAGGCGTATACGCGTTGGAGGATCCCAACTTTGACATTACCTGGTATGCAAAGTACTTTGTGGGCGCAGAGCACACCAACTATGTGGCAGACGCAGACGCAGAGTACGGCAACGTGGTTGTGTCAACGCTCCGGATCTCGGATGCTCATGATCCACACTACCGGGTCATTGTCATCACAAAGTACAACACCGATCGCCACCTGGTGCCCAATCCCAAGAACAAGAAGCTCCCGCTTAAGGATCTGCTTGGCGCTGTCCGCAAGGGCTACACTCGGCTGGCCAAGAAGCTCAAGAAGGTCTCGAACTTGGCCATGCAGAAGGACATTCTCAAGATCGAGGACATGGAGTCGATCGACAAGTACAAGTTTGGCGTCCTCCTTGTCAAGCCTGGACAGACCAACGAGGCCGACATGTTTGGCAACGAGCATCCGAGCCCAGCCTTTACCGAGTTCCTGCAGTGCCTCGGCGACGAAATCACCCTCGCGGGGTGGGACGGCTACCGCGCCGGGCTCGACACCAAGTACGGCAACACCGGCGAGACTTCGTACTACACCGAGATCCACGGGTGCAAGGTCATGTTCCACGTCTCGACCTGCCTCCCCTTTACTCCGGGCGAGGGTGCCGAGATGACGCAGCAGCTCCAGCGGAAGCGGCACATCGGCAACGACGTTGTCGTCATCGTCTTTATTGACGCCGACGAGGACTCGGGCACCGCCTTTGACACCGAGTGCATCTCGTCGCAGTTCAACCACGTGTGGGCCATTGTCCAGCCGACAAACAAGGCGTCGCGGCAGACGCAGTACAAGGTCGCCGTCGCCGCCAACGAGGCTGTCAAGTACTTTATGCCCATCCTCCCGCAGCCGCCGGTCTTTACCCACGGGGCAAACTTCCGCGAGTGGCTCCTCACCAAGATGATCAACGGCGAGCGGAGCGCCATGCACTCGGAGGCCTTTGTCAAGCTCTCGGAGCGGACCAAGGAGCTCATGCTCGGCGACATCGTCTCCACCTACATGGGCGCCCGCGTCACCAACCAGGCCAAGGAGCAGGCGCTTCGCAAGCAGATCGAAGCCATGGTGAGCGGCAAGGCGAGTGGGAAGCCCAAGCAGAGCGTCAACATCTTTGACGCTGCCCCTGTCGGCTCGTCGTTCCCCGGCGAGATCCGCGCCCTCGGCTTTTATGGCGAGTCCATCGTCTACGGCACCGACGCTGGCCTCTTTGTCCGCACACCGGGCGCGTCCGCAGATGCCCCCCTCTCCGACGCCGGCCCCGTCCATGAGCTCGTTGTCGTCTCGGACATTGCCGTCGCCGTTGCCGTTCTCGGCAAAAAGCGCCAGACGTACGTGTTCTCGCTCGCCTCGGCCACCGCCGGACTCTCCTCCAGCGGGACGCTCCTCACCGCGCCGGCCATGAAAAAGGCCACCCTTCTCGCCTACGGCACCTACTCGACCACCCCACTCCTCGCCGTCGCCTGCTCCAGCGCCGTCTTTGTCTTTCAGTGGTCCGGCTCCGGCTTTGTCCTCACCCAGTCGCACACTCTCCCCACCACTGTCACCGTGCTCAAGTTCTTCAAGTCGTTCCTCGTCATCGGCTTTGGCCACGCCTTTGAGGTCATCGACCTCGAGACCTCGAGCATCTCGCCGCTCCGCGCTTCGGACGACAAGCTCTCTCCTGTCGCTGTCTGTGTTGTCGACGCCCAGCTCATGCTCGTCTTTGCTGACGAGGGCGTGTTTGTCAACGTGAAGGGCGTGACCACTCAGGACTTTGCCCTCAAGTGGACCACCCTCCCCACCGCAACATGCTTCATTGACCCGTACATTCTCTCCTTCACCCGCAACTTTGTCGAGATCCGCACAAAGGTCACCGGCCGCCTCGTCCAGACCATGCAGATCAACGACTGCGCTTTCCACTCGGTCCACCGCAACGCCGCAGGCTCGCGCGCCGCCGTCGTTACCTCCTACGACCCCACTTCTGACGCCACCTCGCTCCTCCTCCTCTCGCTGGCAAACCACACCTCGGTTGGCGCTGGCCTTGCCGTCCTCTCTGACTCGGTCGCCTCCATCATGGCCTCGGTCGCCTCGCTCCCACTCCCGGCACACTCGGCCCTCGATGGCCTTCCCGCTGCAGAAGCGCCGGCGCCGTCGGTCTTTGCCCCCGCGCCGCCACTCCCTCTCGCCCCCCCGCTCGCCGCGGCCCGCAAGGCTGCGCTTGGCTCTTCAGCCGCCGCCGGCTCGTCCGGTCTCGAACTCGCTGACGGCATGACCGATGCTGACGCCGAGTGGGTGGCCCAGCTGCAGGAGAGCCTGCTCCAGGCTTCGGCCTGATCAGCCCCCCCCCCCCTCCCCCCCATTCTCATTGAAGCCGTGTTCTTTTACCGCTGCGCCGCCTTCTCGCTGCTCCTGCTCCGCGGCGACGACGGGGTCTTCTTGCCCCGAGGCGGACTGCCTTTGCCGAAGCGCGGAGACGTCTTGGCGAGCCGCGAACTCCTCCGCTTGACTGGCCGCCGCGATTGCGAGCCTCTCTGCTGGGGCTTGCCCGCCGATACTAGCGTCGATCGCGACGACGACGACCTCGGCGACGGGCCGGGCGTCCACCTCCGCTTGCTGCTGCTGCTTCCGGTGCTGGGGCTCTTTCGCGGGCGATTAGAGGCTGGTGGCGATGCCGGTGGCGAGGCAGGGGGCAATGCTGCTTGGCGCGATGGTCCGTAAGCGTCCGCCATTGTAGCCTGCGTTGGCGAGGACGCGGTGTCGAGCGACTTGCGCGGCGGCGGCCGGACATGCGGATCGCACATGCGTTCGAGCGAGACCGACGACTTTGAGCCTTGGAGAAGCGACGAGACCCGTTGATGCCGTCGAGTCGCGTTTGCCGGGCTCACGGCAAGTGCACCGTCAGACGTCGAGTTGGGCAGCAGCCCAGTCGAATTGGATGACCGTGCCGTGAGAATGTCGAGCGGATCAGCCGAGATAAGCGGGCGTGGCGAAATGAGAACTGACGACGAGCCGTCAAAGGCCTGCCTCAGCTCACTCGACTGGTACAACGATGGCATGCTCACGTCACCGATTCGCTCAAAGCCAGCCAGCTCCGCCGGGTGGTCGCGCTCGCGGAGTCCGACAACCTTGGCCTGGAACAGCTCGACCTCCCAGTCAGGCATGTCGCGCGAGACAAAGAGGCCAAGCGGCATTACACCGGCCGAGACCCGAGCCGCCACGAGATCGTCGACCACAATCTGCCCACCATTGGCAGCTCCGCATAACAGCCGTGCCTCGGTCAACCCGCGCCCGCTGTAAACCATCCCTCCGCTTGTTGCGTCGTGGACAATGGCGGGCTTGCAGACCCGGAGCCCAATGCGGACTCGCAGCCCGTTCCACAGCACTCCATCTGAGATGAGCCTGTCATCACTGGTGATAGCGGCCGGCCACGGGAGCTCAAACAAGCCGCGCTGGATAGAGATTGCTGCCAGGAACGCCGCCCGCGACTCGGGAAAGGCCACTAAGAAGCAGCCGTTCTTGTTGGCGGCGACGTAGCCTTCATGCTCCCATGCCACAGAGTTGATGAGCGCATCATGGTCGGCCATGGCCTGTGTCATCGCTTCCGGGTACGCACTGGCAAAGTACTCGACGCTCTGCACCTCGGTGGCCAGCAGCGCCACATGGCCACCCGGCATCTTGGTCTCCCGCGTCGGAAAGTCGCGAGCCTGAAAGGCCGCCCTAACTTGCGCCCGCCGCCGGTAGCACCCGACGCCGAGAACGCAGACCACCACACACATCCCGCTCACGGAGAACCCAACCGCAAGCACCATGTCACTCGAAGACACTGATCCCGAGCCCGATTTCGACCCATCGCTGCCACCGCCACACCCGCTGCCATCGCCGAAACACACGCCACATACATCCTTATCGGCGCCGGCGACGTGGCCCGAGACCGGGCCCGAGCACATGCCGCACTCATCGACCGTGTCGTTGCCCGGGCAGATCGTGACCGGCGGCGGCGGTGGCGGTGATGATGACATCGACGACGGCGGTGGCGGCGGCGGCGGCGATGGTACCAGTACGCATGAATTGCCCACAAGGTTCCACCCGGCACCACACGAGGTGCAGTTGATGGCGGTACCGTGGCAAGTTGCACAAGAGGCAGCACAGTTCCCGCACGGCTGGGTTGACCCCTCGTAAAACTGACCATGCTGGCAGAGCGCACACGACGAGTGCGTAGCATCGCTAAAGGCGTATCCGTCCTCACATGAGGTGCACGTTGTGCCGGCGATAGAGCACGGCGCGCCCGCGACAGTGTCGGAGTTGCAGTGTGTGCGAACGTCGCAGCTGGGACCGGTCCAGCCCGGTTTGCACGAGGTGCATGCAGAGTTGGGAACGAGCGGAACGGCGGAGCAAGAGGCACGGCCATGAAGGCAGGCATCGGGCGCGGCGCCGCACCCATTGGCCAGGCCTGGCGTTGTTCCGCCGGAAATGCAGACAACGTTGGTGGTGCACGCACTGGCGGCATTTGCGCACACCGCAGAGTCGACAAATAGCAGCTGAGCGGCGACGACTTCCACCGCTCCGGTGGCCATGCCCGCTAGGGCCGTGTTGCTCCGGATCACGGTCCGCACCAGCCGCGAGCCGAAAGCAACGTCGTCCACACGGAGGCCCGAGCTCTTGTCCGCAGTGTTGCTCTCAACGACTACGTCGACAAGGACGGTGTATGAGTTCTTGACGTGGATGCCGCCGCCAGACATGGCAGCCGACGAGTCGCGGATGACACAGTCGATGAGCTCGAGATGGCTACCGTGAGCGTGAATGCTCCCGCCGCTGGTAGTGAGTGCGGTGTTGCCGACCAAGATCGAGCCGACAAGTGTGGCATTGCCATCGATGCGCATGCCGCCGCCGATGCTGGCGACGTTGCCGCTCACGGTCGCTCGGTGACGACGGTCATAGCAGCCGAGTGCGCATTGGAGATGGCGCCACCCTGAGATCCGGCCGAGTTGCCCGAGACGACCGAGCGGACAATGGAGAGCTCGCCGTACGACGAGATGGCACCACCGCTTCCGACCGCTGTGTTGTGAGACAGAATCGAGTCGTAGATGGAGACAACCGCCGAGGTACCAGCCGAGATGGCGCCGCCGTCTGACGACGATGAGCACGATGAAAAGATGGAGCCGGAGATGGTGATATCGGCGTTGGCAAAGAGCGCGCCGGAGTTGGCCGAGACCGAGTCGGTGACGACAATGTGGTCCAGGACAAAGGCACCCGACCCGACGTAGATGGTGCCGCCCGCAGAGCCGGCCGAGTGACGGACAAAGGTGGAGTTGACGACAGTTGAGTCAGGGAGCATCGAGCCGATCTCGAGCGCGCCGCCGATAGCGGTCGCGGTATTGTCGTCAAAATGAGCATCGACGATAACCAGGCCGGCCGAGGTGGCGGTAATAGCGCCACCAAAGAGGCTTGCGCTGTTGGCGACAAAGTGACCACCCAGAACGGCGACGTCTGCGGACGGCTCGAGAGCCAGTGCGCCACCGTAAGCGGCAGCATTACCGGTAAAAGTCGAGTTGATAATAGTGTGCCGCGACAAAGTGCTGAGGAGGCGGACAGCACCGGCTTTTCCGGTTGCCATCGATGCAGCATTTCCCTCAAAGACACATGCGTCCAGAGTGAGGGTCGTACTGATGCCGGCGCTGATGGCGCCGCCAGAATACAATGCCGTGTTGCTCTCAAACCTGGCACCGACGGCAGAAAGCACGGCCGACGAGGTAAGTGTGAAGATGCCGCCGCCGTAGTTGGCGGTGTTGGAGATGAAAACGCCGCCGTGGAGAACGGTGGTATGCGCGGCACGGACTGCGCCGCCATGATAGCCGGCCGAGTTGTGGATAAAGACTACATCTGCAGCAACAATGAGTGGAAGCTGGGTGTTGACGGCGCCGCCGTAGTTGGTCGCCGAGTTGCCCTCCAAGACACAGCCGGCACCGAGCTCGATATACTCGCTGGTCATCGGGGAAGAGTTGGCTGAAATGGCGCCGCCAGCCGCCGACGATGCAAGTGCCGAGTTGTTGACAAATATCGTGGTGGTGGCGCGCAAGCTGGCACCGAAAAGCAGCGTGATGGCTCCTCCAGAGCCGGAGCTTGCCGAGTTGGCGGCAAAGGACGAGGCAGTGATGTCGATGAAGCCGTGACTGAAGAGCGCCGGGCCCTGTTTCGAGGTGAGGAGCGTAAATGTCGAGTAGGCGACGGTGAGGTCGGTGTCGAGGGCGACGACGGCCGAGGAGAGATCACTCCCGACAGGGTCGGGCATGAGAAGTTGCGAGAACGAGCAGTCAGTGACCGCAGTTGGCAGCGAGGCTGCGTGAGCGGCACCACCGGCATAGAGAGCAACACCGACCGACGAGGCAAACGACGAGCCAGAGAGCGAGACAGCATGCGGGATCGTGATGCCGAGCAAGCCGGACGACGGTCCGCTGCCGACCGAGACAATGGCGGCGGAGGAGGGGACGACGACATCGACGACCGACCACCCATCGAGGTCGACAGCAACAGGCAAGAACGGAGGTGGCGACGGATCCGAGTCAAACATGCGGACAAGGACAAGGCCGTCGACATGGCTGGTGGTCACGTTACGCAGCGTGAGACCAGCGATGCGGACGGCAGAAGTGTGCGGATGAACGTCGAGGTTGATGAGAGGAGAGCTAGCGAGACGAATGTCAGCAAAGGCGATGCCCTCCATGGTAAACGCCGAGCTCATGGGCATGTCCCATGCCAGCAAGGGAGGCATCGCGTTGCGGGTAGCCGAGGGAGGGCACGTGATGAGCGGAGCATCAGAGGGAGTCGCCGGACGGATGACGAGAGAGAGGACATCAGGATGCGGAGCCAGGAAAGTAGAGCATGCATCATCATGGACAAAGTCGCCAAGACAAAGAACGACATGGCCATTAGCCGATGCTAGGAAGGACGCAGCTGCAGCGAGGGCATTTGGTGTGTGAAGAGACAAAGTTGTGAATGAGCACGAAGCAGCAGATGCCTTCAGCGGTGTGACACTGAGTGCAAGAGCGAGGAGGAGGGTGAGGATAGCGACCAGTCGGGTGACCAATTGTGGTCGTCTTGCCACCATGGCCCAATGCATGTCACCACCGTCTCTACCGTCTCACCACAACCGAGAAGCACAACGGCGTGAGGTGGTGGTGGTGGTGGAGGGAAGGTAGGCGGGGGGAAGGGGGGGGGAGGGGAGAGGTGGTGGAGCCAGCTTTGTGAGTGCTTCGTTCGCGGACATTTTTTTCGAATGGCCGAATATCTTATTTGGCTGATTTTGAGCATTCACGGTCTGTGCACGTGTGCATGACCAAGGGCGGGAGCTAGGGCGCGAACTCGGCGTTTTTAGAGGCATGGATGATGTGAAAGGCGAGTGATGGCCAGTGGTAGGTGGTACTACTCACCGCCGACGCCGTCGCGGAGCTCGTCGAGGGTGGGTGGGAGGAGGACTTTGAAAAAGTAGTTGGTCTTGTCGGGCACGTCGAGCTCTTCGACGCCGAGAAAGCCTGCGCGCTTAGCGTAGGTGGCAAAGACGGGCGGCGAGCCGATGACAGTGCCTGTGCCGGCGCCGTCTTGACCGATGGCGACGGGGAGGCAGTGGAGGAGAGAGATGCCTGCACGCATGACGCCGCGCGGATGGCGGTTGTCGTTGGGGTTGGACGAGCCGGACGGCTCGGACCAGATGAACATGGTGTCCGGAGAGCGACAGACTGCACGGATGGCACGGAGGGTGGGCTCTAGGTCGCCGATGTCGTGGAGGGTGTCGTACGCCCAGACAATGTCGTAGCCAAAGCGCGAGGTCGGCTCGGAGAGGATGGAAGGGTAGTCGCGGAGCGAGGCCTCGACAAAGGAGGCGTTTGTGAGCGAGGCCTGGAAGGCATGCTCGCGGGCGTTGATGATCGAGGCGTGGTCGGCGTCGAGGCCGACAAAAATGGCATCCGGGAATGCTTTGGCTAGGACCAGCGTGGCCTGGCCCTCGCCGCATCCGATGTCGAGGAAGCGGGTGCCGGGCGTGTGGAGGCGGTCGACGAGGCCCGGAATAGCTTCCATCCACGGAATAAGATCGTTGGCAAAGGTGTTGGCGTTGACTTGGGCAATGGTCGAGTGGAGGTTGTACGCCGAGAACGGCATGCCGCCGCCGGCCTTGAAGCCCTTGGCCACCACATCGTTGTAAAGGAAGATGTTGCCGACGACTAGATCGAAAAACGGGCGGCAGTAGCGCGGCGACGAGACGTTGGCCATGGCCGCGATCTGGGCCTCGTTCATAAAGTATGTGCCCGAGCCGCCACCGACACCCGCAGCCAGCTCTTTCTCGGTCGCCTTGCTCACATTGTACTGCGCGTAGCCCGCAGCCACGGCGCCGTTGAGCCACTCGAGCACATATCGCGGGTCGAGGTCAACAGCCGTAGCCAGATTGGCGGCGGTAGCGGGCCCGCACGCAGCCAACGCATCAAATAGGCCGAGTTGTGAGCCTGCAAAGACGATGATGCCGCCCATGGCGCCCGAGAGATGGCTCATGACAGTGGCCGAGAGCTCGTCAGCCGACGGCCCGCCAGCAGCCGCCGCTGCTGCCGACGACGACGACGACGACGACGAAGACGAAGCCGGCGAGAGACCACGGGGCTTCTTGGTCATGGGCGGAGCAGATGGGTCGTTGTCTGCCTTGCGCTTGGGAGAGGGGGCGGACATGGTTGTGGTGGGAGGGGACGAGTGTGAGTGGGTCAGTGTGGGACAGCGACAGACAGGGTAAGCAGTGCAGGGGGGGGGGGAAGGGGGGGGGAGGGGGGGGAAGATGCGATCGCATGCCGACCGCACATCATTGTGTTACACATACTGTAAACATGGTGTTGATGGTCTAGATCGTGGCGTGTGTGGCCTGTGCTGTGGCCGATCATTGTTCCTGTAGCATCATGGCATGGCGGCAGGAGATGGTGCGAGGGCAGTAGCACGGGGGGGGCGGAGGGGGCGAGCAGGAACATGGATGCGATGTATGCGCGAGAGCATGCGTGGGTTTTGATCATGCGCGAGACTGCGCGGAGCTAGGCGAGACTGCGCGAGACGGCACAAGGGCGCGAGATGGGAGATCGCCCGTGCAAGCGAGGGGGCGGCGGAGCGGAGCGGATGCCGTGACGACAGTCGAGGACGGGGAGCACCTCACTTGGCCATAGGCGATGGACTTGCGGACAAAAAGTTGCTGGCGGTTGGCGTGGCAGCCACTGGCACAGCATATCTACTTCGTGGCTTTATCCGGGATGCCGGTGAGATTCTGGTACGGTTGGAGTGACGCGAGGCGGTTGAGGCGATGGCGGAGGGATCGAGTCGCTGGCGGCCGGCTCGAAGCGGCGCTCGCTCTTTCCCCCCCAAACCGGGGCATGAGGACCAAGTGGGCGAGACTCACAGAGTAAGGGGGTGATGATGATGGGGGCGCAGGGCACGTTCTTTTGGACATGTCCGCCCAAGGCCAAGATCAACACGCTGCGGTGGATGTGCTCGCCGGGCGCGGTGCGGCTGCTGATCGACTACGTGAGGGTGCGGGCATCTGCCCTCTCGCGTGACGAGCTGCTCAAGCCGAGAAAGGCCGAGGCCAAGCCGCTGGAGGGTGCGGATCCGACACGCGAGGTGGTGCCGGGCTTGCCGCCGACGGTGGCGGGCGTACACCCACGGATTGTGCTGGCGTGGGAGGCTGAGGCGTTTGCGGCGGTCGAGGTGAGCGACGACGATGTGGTGATGGTCAACCACGGACTGGCGGTGCAGCATGCGCTCACGCTGCCGGCGAGCGTGGTGGGCAAGGTCAAGCCGCCACTTTGCGCCAACGACATTGCCGGAGACTATGTGTGGATCGAGGATCCGGCGACAGGCATGGTGTTCTACCACGGTCTCCCGATGGACGACGCCACGCTGGTCGACGTCGTCGACGGCCTTCCGGGGCCAGGCGAGGCGCTCTCGGCGGCGCAGGTGGCGGGGATTCCCAAGGAGGTGCTGCAGCGACTGCTGCAGGCGCGGGTGCTGTACACTGAGCGGTTCTTTGCCGGGGCACAGAGTGCGATGCAGGCGGTGTACGCGCAGGCGCGGGCCGACCTCGCGGCCAACGGGTACTGCTTGCTACGCGATCTCATTCCGGTGGCACAGCTCGCAGCGCTACAGGTTCATTGCGACAAGGCGCTCAAGCGGTACTCGATGCAATCGCGGCTCGACGGCCACCAGATGCTCTGGGCCGAGCCGTTCACCAACTACCTCAACTACCAGATGACGCGGGTGATGGAAGCGGTGACAGGCGAGGAGCTGGTGCCGGAGCGGCCGCTGCTCTTGTTGTATCCTGAGCACTCGATGCTCGACCTGCACATCGACAAGGCCAACTACGCGTGGTCGATGTCGACCACGGTCGACTACACCCATCCAAACCGCGACGAGGCTACCGGGCTCGGCGGCGAGCCGACGACAATGACCCTCATCCGGTCGACGCTGCTCGGCCCGGCGTCGGCCGCGCTCGCCCTCGACGTTGGCGACTTTGTCATCTTCCCCGGTCCGCAGCTCCCGCACTATCGTAATCGGCTGCCGACCGGCTGCTCGCTTATTTCGATCTCGTTTGCCTGGGACTCGAGGTCGCGGCAGGCGCAGGAGTAAAAGGATGATGACGACGCGTGCTGCAGACGATCACGTCGTGGAGAGGCTGTTGTAGCAATTGCGACACATGGCGGCATACGATTCCTTGCCGCCGATGACCTCGACGCTAGTGTCGGCGATGAGGCGCTTGGAGAAGGGCGCGTCTGCGGCGAGACACTCCATGCACACCGCCGTCAGCTTGGTCACCCGCTCAGCAGCAGCAACGAGTGGACCCGTCGACGCAAACGGCCTTCGCATAAAGTCGCCATCAAGGGTGGCGACGACAACGATCTTGCCGCTGTTCGCCAGCTCGTCGGCGACAGGCATGACATCATCAAAGAACTGGCCCTCATCGATGCCGACCACCTCGGCGTCGGCCAAGACCTCAGCCGGCACATCAGCAAGTCGCAGAGCAGCGTAGGCAGGCACTGCCACGTCATCATGGGTCACTGTCGCTCGTCCAGGCTCGGCACCACGTGTGTCCTTGGCAGACTTGATGATGGCCACCGTCTTGCGCGCCGCAACCTGCCGACGGACCCGTCGGAGCAGCTCAGTCGTCTTGCCTGAGAACATGGGCCCGAGAATGACCTCTAGCCGACCACGAGCAGCCGTATGGGCACTCCTACAAGTAGCCGTGCTCATCAGCATTCGCGGTGTCAGCATGTGGCTGCGAGGAGTGGGGAAGGGGGGGGCGTGGGAGTGAGGTGGTGCTCAAATCGAGCTGAGGGCAGCGAGTGGCGCGTCAAGTCAGAGCAAGGCGGACTGGGGCCGATGGTGCCGGGTTGGGGTGTTAGGGCATCAGTGTGGAGCTGGCTGGTGGGGTTAGATCAAGACGATACCCTCAATGTGGCTCGGATCGTCGTGGAAGGTATCGATGACGGCGGGCAGGCTCTCGAGGATGAGCGGGACGTTGGTGGCTCGGCGATGGACGTGGTAGACAACCGAGGCGGCATCGCGGGTCACTATTGCGCCCATCAGCGCCGCGGCAAAGGTGGAGTTCGCCACAGCGTTGTCGGTCTCTGTCTCGGCGTCGGGCAGAAGTAGCGCGGCAAGGTCAGGCCCGTGGTTCCGGGAGGCGAGGGTGGCCCAGGCGAGAAAGACCGCGATGGTGCCTGCGAGCACATCGCCCTGTCCGCCGCACCTTCGGAGGGAGGGGCGGGCGTGGCCGAGGCGGGCAGCAACATGGGCGTTGGCCACAATGTCGGCTGCGCCTTTGCGGACGACGGTGGCGTGGTGAAGGGCGGCGGCGAGGCGCGAGACCTGGTCCTCGGCCGGCCCGGGTACGTCGCCCAGCTCGACAACGGCCTCATTCAGCAGCGCACGACACAGACGGCGATACTCGACGGCGTTGGGCGTGACCACAAGCCGGTCAGTTACGGCTGGCGCGAGAGTGAGCGCGGCCTTGCCGTCGTCGTTGCCGAGCGGAAACAGCGCGTCGCCGTCAAGAACCACAGGCAGGTCGAGGGCGGCCGCGTGGTCAAGGAGCGGGCCGACAAGCGCCAGATGCGCAGGCGCGCGGCCAAGGCCTGATCCCATGGAGACAGCATGCAGCGAGGCAAGCGCCCACCCATCGTCGATCATGGTCGCAGCCTTGGCGTCGCCCGGTGGAGCATCGCCGTCGGCTGGCAGGATTCCGCGGACAATGAGCTCCGGTGAGTAGGCCTTGATGGGCACGGCCGCATCGGGGGCACAGATAACAGTTGCAAGATCAGCACCAGTGCGCAGTGCTGCCAACGCTGCAAAGTACGGCGCGCCAGTGTACGCCGCGCATCCGCCGACGATGCCGACTCTGCCGTGCGAGCCCTTGTGCGCCGATGCAGATAAAGCGGGGATGAGGATCTGTGCCGTCCGCTGAAGAAGCGCCACTAGCTTGTCGTGGCTCAGAACATGGGACGCTGCCATGGGTGGGCGCGATCGCGTGGTAATCAAGAGTGTGTGCACGAGACAAGTAGCTGACGGCAGAGGCTGTCCGCCGTGCCCGTCGGCTGGTGCGGGCAGATGACCTCGGAGTCACTCAACTCGCCAGCATGCTTCGATTACCGACATGGTCGGGGAGCCAGGCTGGCATAGCGGTGGTGTCGAGGTGCATGAGCAATAGTGCGAGCCAAGAATGGGTCTCGTTCACCTGTGCAGAGGGCAGCAAGGGCGCGCCGTGGCGGGCGGCAGGGCTCAAGTGGGATCCGCTCAAATCGCTCATTGTGCCGCGGCCGATTGGATGGATCACGACGTTGAGCAGCGGTGATGGTGGCGCGAACACGGCACCGTACTCGTTCTTCAACGCGGTCTCATCGACGCCACCGATGGTTATGTTTGCCTGCAATGGCGTGCATGCGGATGGCGGGCTGAAAGAGTCGGTCATCAATGCGCTGGAGACCGGCGAGTTTGTTGTCAACGTGGCTTCGGCTGGCGTCATCGATGCTGTGGCCAAGACTGGCTATGCTGTCGATCGCGGTGTCGACGAGGGCTCGCACCCGCTGCTGGCCAACTCGGCCATGCTTGCATCGACGGTGGTTGGCCCGCCGCGGCTGGCGCTGGCCAAGGCGCATCTCGAGTGCACCACGGTCGAGTCGATCGAACTCCCGCACGACAACGGCGAGGCGCGCAACGTGGTTGTCTTTGGCCGCGTCGTCGCGTACCACCTCTGCACCTCGATCCTCACCGACGCCGGCGACAGCGTCGACGTCCTGCGGCTCAATCCGCTCTCACGGCTTGGTGGCTCCGAGTACGGCACGCTCGGCGCGCGCGAGGCGGTCATCAGCCACAAGTACGGTGAGGCCGAGCTGATGGAGCAGGCGCCCGAGCTGTTCACCCAGCTCGCGGCGCGGCGGCAGCGGGCGAGAGCAAGGCGCAAGTGAAAGCAGGAGGCAGGGGCTGGATGACAATGTTTACCTTTACCCGCTCTTGTTGTTCTGGACGACGTCGACCATGGCGCGGGTGGCCTTGGCCCAGACGGAGAGCTTCTCGCGGAGGAGCTCCCAGTGCGAGTGCTCAAAGACGCGCTGTGTAGCGCGGGAGATGTGGATGACCTTGGAAGCCTGGTCCATACGGACGCGGGCAAGCTTGGCCTTTGAGATCTTGATGCACCAGCGCTCGACGTCCTCGGGCGCGACGTCAAGGGTGGCCGAAACGAGCGAGTAAGGGATGATCTCGGTGTTGGCGGCGAGCGAGGTGAGCGAGAGCAGGCGCATCTTCTCGACGTTGCGCTCGTGCGAGAGGCCGAGCATGTTGTCGACGACGTCCTTGGCCTCGGCCGACGAGTCGTACAGTGCGGTGTAGTCGGTGACAAAGCCGTTGACAAAGACGGAGAGCAGCTGGTGGACGAGGACGTACTGCGGGTTGGCGTGGGTGGCAAAGGCGGCGACGGCCTTGAGCTCGAGAAGGTGATCAAACTGGAAGACGTTGTTCATGTCGAGCGCCTCCGAGACCACCTGCAGAACCACCGACTCGACTTCGGTCACCGACGACGCATCGTCGTTGTCGTACGTGTCCAGGAGCATGAAGCGGAGTTCGGCGGCGTCGGCACGCGCACCGACCGACGACAGCGCCTTGGCCGCAAGCTGCAGACCCGCACGCTTCTTGGCGACCGGCACATCGGCAAAGGCCGCGGCCACAAGCTTGCCAAAGTTGAGCAGGTGCGGCTTGATGAGCGGGAGCTTGGAGCTCTCCAGGGCGAGCGAAATCATCTTCATCAGCGTATCAAACCGGAGCTCCAGACCCGACGGCAGCTTGTTGTACACCATGTTGAGGACCGAGAGCTGGACAACAGGCTTGCCAAGCTCGGCCACCGAGACCTCGTTCACGATGCGCTCGAGAACCTTGGGCAGGGTCTGGTACGCCTGGGCGAGGTAGACGACCAGATGGAAAAGTTGCCCACGACGGAATCGTTGGCACCGGGAGCAGCGATGAGGTCACCGGCCTGATCCAGCATGAGCTCAACAGCCTTTGCGCACTCGCCCTTCTCCACCAGTGCCTGGACCTTTGCCACGGCGACCTCTGCAGCCTCTGCATCGGCCACAATCAGCGAGAGGTACCTCTGCAGCTCGACAATCTGCATTCCCTCCCCCCCACCCAAGTACGCCACACCATGCCATTACCCATAACACCATAAGCATAAGTCCCCCATGTGCCCATTCTCTCTCTCTTCCCCCTTCACCCCGTCTTGGTCATGCCCCCCCCCCCCTCCCCCCCCCTGGCCACGGTGGGATGGCAAGCAGAAAATGGAGGACAACGTCGACAAGGACGAGACCGAGGCAACCGAGGGCTACGGTCATTCAGCTGGAGCTAGCAACACCCAGGTTGGGCGTCCTCTCCCGTTAACATACCTGCTCTTGCTCGTTGAGCTCAATAAACGTCAGCGTAGCCATGGCTGCTGGTGGTGCGTGAGCTGTGCCGTCCTGTGCTCGCCTTCCTCGCCAGAGATGGCCTCGAAGAGCCAAACGAGCCGACCGAGCCAATGGCCGAGCCGCAGCCGATGGCGATGGCGATTAGTACTGTTCGAGCTGATCGAGTCATCGCAGGGGGGAAACACATGACTGGGTGAGTGTGCCTGTTGTCTGTTGTCGTTGACGGTGGCGGTGTGGTGGGTGCGGGGGAGGGAGACGGCGGATGGCGAGGTGGTCTGTCGATAGAGGATGATGATCGGATGGTGTAGAGGTGATCATGTCGTATACTTCACACTTTTTTAATCGCCGCGCCTTATCACCACACCCACCCACTACTCAACCATCACCACCTCCTCTACATCCCCATCCATGCAACAAACTAGCAGGCGGCAGGCCGGAACTTGGCGAGTGCGACCGCCAGCCCAGCCGCTGACCGCCAGCCGCTGACCGCCAGCCGCTGACCGCCAGCCACCGACCGCCAGCCACCGACCGCCAGCCACCGACCGCCAGCCACCGACCGCCAGCCACCGACCGCCAGCCACTGACCGCCAGCCACTCCCACCACCTGACCACTCTCACCACCGCCACCACCACACTCCGCTCACTGCTGGTCTGCTGACCATGTACCCACTGTTCCGGCTACTGAAGGTATGTCGCCTCCCTCCCCCCCCCCCTGTCCCTCCACTCACACATGGCACCGCCTCTTCTCGTAGGTCGTGGACCGAGTGGCCGGGAAGAAGGCACGGGTGACGGCAGCGAGTACAGCTGCTGATGGCTCGACGGTGTATGTGGGTACAAGTACTGGCGATGTGCTCAAGTATGCCTTTGAGTCGGAACTCTCGCAGTCTTTGGAAGCTTCGGCGGCAGCGTCTTCGGCGGCGGCAGCGGTCTCGGCGTCAGCTTCGGCGTCGTCGGCAGGAGTCGGCGTGGCAGAGGCAGATACCGCGAGATCGACTTTGGAGATCAAGAAGAACGTGGGCGGGAAGAAGAAGATCGAGACTATTCTCCCGCTGAAAGCCGCAGGCCATTTGGTGGTCCTCGTCGGCGAGACCGTGGTCGTCCTGGATGCCGTGAGCCTCAAGGCGGTCTCGCCGCCATTTCCCTCGCCGCGACACGTTCTCTGCATTGCGCTCGACGCCAAGTCTGGGCGAAAGCTTGTGGCAGTGACAAAGAAGCGGGCGTACGTGTACGAGTTCTCCACCACCATCGGCGACTATGTGCCGGTCAAAGAGTTTGCGGGCCTACCCGGCCCGGTCCTCTCCATCGCCTGGTATGGCGACACGCTTGCGCTTGGATACAAGCGTGAGATCTCGGCCATCTCGGTCAAGTCGGGTATCACGACGACGCTCTGTTCGCGCGAAGTGGCTCCGACCTCGCTGACCTCGATCACCGCCGACGCGGCCGCCATGACCTCAGCCATGCTCACCACGCTGAATCCCTTTGCGTCGTCGTCATCGGGCGCCACAGCGAGCACTTCGTCGTTGCTCATGGCGCCGGTCCCGGGCGTCGGCCTTATTTTGGTAGTCCACAACAACATGGGCGTGTGCTACAACCTCGACGGCTCGCTCTCGGGCCATACGGTGACGTGGTCGCAGCCGCCGTCAGCGGTGGCGGTCGCCTGGCCGAATCTCATCGGCCTCCACGACGGGCTGGTTGAGGTTCGCTCGGTCGAGGACGCCGCCATCCACCAGACGCTCTCGTTGCCCGAGGCGACTCACATCGGGTCGACCGGCTCCGTCCTCACGCTCTTCTCGGGCGCCCGGGTCTGGCTCGGGCTCAAGATCTCGTTCGAGGCTCAGCTCGCAGAGCTCATCCGCGCGCGACGGTTCGACGACGCCATCATGCTGTTCCAGATCCGCGTGCCGGCGTCGGTGCCGACCCGCGACAAGCAGATGCAGCTCCTCTACGAGAACATTGCTTTCCAAGCCCTTGTCGACGCCAACTACGAGCGGGCCTTTCAGTTCTTTGCCCTCTCCACTGTTGACGCGCGCGACCTGCTCCACGTCTTTGACATGCTCCCGCAGAGCCAGGCCAGATACGAGTCGCGGACCCGTCCGCTTCACGCCATCCAGCGCAAGCTCTCTGCCCAGGCGCCACACAAGGCGCATCCGCTGCTGGTGGCGTTTCTGGAAGACCAGCGGACGGTCGCCGCCCGCGGCGAGCCACTTGAGCCTCTGGTGGCACAAGCAGTGGACACTGCGCTGCTGAGGTTGTACATTTCCAAGTCGCCGCACAAGCTCCGGCCGCTTCTCACCGGCGCGAACGCGGTGCTGGTCGACGACGCACGGGCAGCGCTGCGAGCGGCCATCGACACCCGGACCCGAACCGGGCCGTACGACGCGCTTGCTGCACTCGAGGCCTCCGTCGGTAACTACACCGAGGCGCTCGAGGTGTGGGCGACGATTGTAGCGGGCGAGTGCATCGACCCGTCCTCGGGCGGAGCCCGGCCGGCCATCGACGTGCTCGCGTCACTCGAGGGCGGCAGCGACGCGAGCTGGGAGCTCATTGCCAAGTTTGCGCCTGCGCTGCTGCAGGCCGACACTTTTGCAGCTCTGGACGTGTTTGTCTCCCCGACGCGTAGTGTTCCGCTCGACCATGACTCGGTCCTCGCCTTCCTGGCCAAGTTCGAGCCGCTGCCGTGGCACGCGCTTCAAGCGGCATACCTGGCGCACATGGTGAGCGCATACCACGTTGCGCACGAGCAGTATCACACCCGACTGGTCAACATCTATGTCGACAGCGTGGCGGCATGCCGCGATCCAGTCCAGGCTGCTGCCATGGCGGAAGCTTGTACGGCTCACCCGGGCGCGCCCGCGTGCAGCGAGGCAGCGCTCCGGGCGCGACTCTTGGGAGCGCTGGAGGAGCTCCCTTTCTACGACGTTGATCTCATCCTTGAGCGGGTCAAGGACATTGGCGGACTCACCACCGAGCTTGTGGCGCTCTACCGCAAAGTTGGCCACCACAACGCCGCGCTCCGGGTTCTTGTCCACGACGAGACCGACGACGCCGGTGCGCTTGCATATTGCGCTGCTATCCACGAGGTTTACGTTCACGAAAAGGCGCAGGCCGAGCGGCTGGGAGTCCCGCTCTCGACGCTTGGTGTGGTGGCGTCGGACGTTTGGATGGCGCTCCTCGCGGCGTACCTGACGCCTCCTGAAGGAACGCCGGCGCCACGGGCGAGAGCGCTCGAGGCGCAGGTTGTGGCGCTCCTCTCCTCACACGGAGTGCACTTTCCGCCAAGCCAAGTCCTTGACTTGCTCCCGCCGTCGATGCCTGTAGCGCGGATCGGCGACTACCTCGTGACGGCGCTGCGTCGCAAGGTGGCGGCGCAGCGGCGGGCGGCGGTGAGCGCGGCGCTCAACCGATCGGTGCACATGCAGGTGGCGCTTGCGGCGGCCAAGGCCCGGGCGCCGCGGTCGGTGGTGAACCACGAGACGCTTTGCTCGGTCTGCCACAAGCGGCTTGGCTCGAATGTGTTTGCGCGGTACCCCAACGAGGTTGTTGTCCACCTCAAATGCTGTCGTGATCCGCACATTTGCCCAGTCACCGGCGTCGACTTTCGGCCGAGGCCAAACCAAGGCCGAGCGGTTCGGGCACGGCGATGGCAGGCATGAGAGAGAGTAAACAGGGCTTGCTGGCGTGTGCATGCGAGTGTGTTTACGGCTTGCGCGGACGCAGGTTGTGGGCCTCTGAGATAATGTTGGCGGTGCGGTTCTTCTCCCAATGGAGGAGGGCGGCCTTCTTGAGATCGACGTAGCGCGACATCGAGTTGAAGAGCTTCTCGGCCTTGTCGCCGCCAACGACCTTGATGCGGAAGGTCGGGTGCGACATGTCAAAGGTATGGGCGGTGATAAAGCCGCGGTCGCAGCGCTTGCCGCAGCAGGAGCAGAGGCAGACGAGGTCGAGCGAGAGGTCATACACCCGGCGCATGGAGACCTGCTGGTGGTCCGAGTAGCAGCAGGAGCGGGTGTGCTTAGACGCGGTCAGGTTGGTGATCTTGAACTCGTCGTGGGTCTCGCAGCAGTCGCACACACGGCAGCAGCAGCCATAGCCCCAGCATGTCGAGTGGAAGGCGCCTTCGTAGAGGAGCTTCTGGTTGACAACCTCTGTGACCTCGCCGCGGCGCTTGGTCGAGATGTACGAGCGGAGCTCGTGGAAGAGCTCGACCGCGTTGGGCACCTTCATACGCACAATTGGCGTGGTGGCGTCCTGCGAGTACACGGTGATGATGCCGCGGTTCTTGCGGCGGTGGAGGCAGTTCTGGAAGAGCTCGACGTCGATGATGGCCGCGGTGTCCATGGTGTCGACGTCGCGGCCGCAGCACCGCCACGAGGTGACGCCAATCTTCTTTGACGTCAGCTCGTAGTGGTCAAAGTTGAAGACTCCGGCGCCCGGCCCGGTGAAGAGCTCCTTCTCCGGCTCGGAAGCCTCGTCTTCGTCAGACTCGCCGCTGGCGTCGGCGACGTCGTGAACAACGCCGTCGGCGTCGACGCCAAACGCGCGTAGGTCCGACTCTTCAAACGGATCCATAAAGGTCTGCGAGGGAACCGGGACCGAGTCCGGCTCGCCGGCCCGGCTCTTGGTTGCCACCGCGGCGCCAGCAGCGGCGCCTGCAGCAAGCCCGACTCCGGCGGCAGCGGCAGCCGGGGCGGCGGCCTCGGCCCGCGACGACTTGCCGCGGCGGCGGCGGCGTTGCTTGCGCTCGTGCTCGCGCGGCGCAGCTTCGGCGGCCTCGGCAGCCGCCGCCACCGGCGCGACTGCCACCCGGGGCGAGTCATCGTCGCTCAGTGCCGACTCGGAGAGGGTCTTCATCGAGTCGCGATCGTGTTCGACAACTGCATCCTCCGAGCACTCGTATGTACTGTCGTCACCTGCAGCCATCGCGGTGGGCATGGCCGGCACTGGCACCAATGCCTCACGAGCGTCCGAGTAGTCAAAGGGCACAAAGCCGTGGTCTTGGCCAGCGTCTGCCGCCGGCTTGACCAACAAGCAGTCGGACTCACGAACAAAGAGCCCATGCTTCCGTTCTGTGGTAAAGTACTGCACGCCCTCGACAGTGCCACTGTTCCTCCCGACTACACCAGCGCATCACAAAAACGATTCCACGTAATGAGCATACCAGGGGGGGACGTCAGGTGAGGTAAAGTGAGTGGTATGCAAGAGATTGAGATTGGTAGACGGGAGAAAAAGCAGACGCAGACAGAGAGGGAAGTAGTACAAGGAATGCAGTGGTGGTGAGAGGTGGTGGTTTGGCTTGGTGTGCTCTGTACGTGGCTTTCAGGGGCGGGCGGGCGGGGAGGGGCAAGAGGAGGGACAGGGGGCGGAGCCGGGAGCGCGAAAAACGGCGAGTTTGGCAGGACAGACGGAACGGGGAGAGGGGGAGGGGGGAGGAGGGGGGGAGGGACGGGATGACAGGGCAGGGAGGGGGAGGGGGGATGAAGGGAGGGGAGGGGTACGTACTTGGCTTGCCAAGGTCGAGGCCGACCCAGCGACCTGTGGCAAAGTGGACCTTGCCCACAAAGCAGACGGTGCCGTACTGCTGGTCGAGGGTGGAGACCTGGGCACCGACATGGAGACGATGGCTGGTGTGGCCATGGGCAGGATGGTGGTGGACGGGGGTGTAGTCACCGGCAAGTACATCCTCCGCTACGTCCACAAGTTCCGCGGAGAGATCCTCAGTCGACGACAGCATCCGGGCGTCGGCCTCGAATGACGACGCCATCGGTGGTGACGGCGGTGGCGGAGTCGAGTGATGGGCTGTGTTTGGCATACCGCATCTGGCCAATGCCGAGTGGGGGTATGTAGATCATGTACCTACAACAAGATCGGATGGGTTGGTGGTTGATGGATGGATAGTGCGAGTAGAGAGTAGATGTAGTGGGTGAGGTCGGCTGGAGGTGTGATGGTCGAGCCTCTCGCCCATGGGCTGCGTGGTGGGCTTGGGCGGGCGGCTGGTTGGTGCGGAGGTATTGGGTTGTTTGGTCGGCAGTTTGGTCGGCGATAGCCGGCGGGACCACCGCGGCGACAGCGACCAGGAGGAGGAGGAGGAGGAGGAGGAGGAGGAGAAGTTGGTGATAGCAGACTGCACTCGCTGGGGCAGCGTAGGACGTAAGGGGGTAGCCAGGTGCAGGCACAGGGAGTAGTGTGCTTACAGATACCCAACAGGGCCTGCGAGTGGTGACCATGTCGCACACAGAGACTGACGACGACGAGTTGTTCCTGTCTGCAGAGGTATGTGCAGATGGCGGGAGGAGGCAGGGCGAGGCGGGGGCGAGGCGGGGGCGAGGGGGCTAGTGTATGTGTATGTGTGTGTGGAGGGGGAAGGGGGGGGGTGGTTCTCATGGTGGAGCATGCGTGTGTGTGTGTGTGTATGTATGTGTGTGTGTGTGTGTGTGTGCAGGACTACTTGGTGGGGCTCGACAACGACGACGGCCAGGTGGCGGACGAGGGAATGGTAGAGCTGGACGCTAGCAAAGCAGACGGCGGACAGGATGCCATTGATGGTGGAGATGGTACAGATCTTGGTGGGGCTGGTCCAGGGAATGGTGAGGGCGAGGCCAAGTTTCGCATGCGGCCGCTCCGGCAGCTGACGCACGACTCGGTGTCAACGGGCGGGGCATCGACGGGTGGCGCGTCGACGGGCGATGTGTCGTCGACGTGTGAGGCATCTTCCGGCGGCGATGACAATGGCGGCGACGGTGTAGAAAGCATGTCAGGCTCGGGCTCGGACGGCGGGTGCAGCAGCTCGAGCAGCTCTGGTGGCGCAGCGTGCGGTAGCGGAGTGGCGCTACCGATCGCGCCCGAGTACGGGGCGATCGACGAGAACGGTGAGTTTGTGCTCTTTGTCAAGTGCCTTGACGACAACTCAACGGTGGACGAGAAAACGGCGCTTGCAGGAGTGACGACGGTGGGACCGGACGGCGAGGCAGGCACTGTGCCTGCCAGCATCCAGGGCAAGGGCAAGGGCAAGGGCAAGGGCCCATCGACGCCGCCTGAGAGCGAGGAAGTGACATTTGCGCCGTCACGGGTGAACAAGCTGACCGTGGAGGAATGGGACCGGCTTCTGGAGCTGCAGGTGCTCGACGCACACATCGGTGCCATCTGGGTGGCGCACTTTTCGCCCGACGGCATGTATCTGGCTACAGGTGGGCAGGACATGGTGGTGCGGGTGTGGCGGCTGGCAGAGAGCAACGGGAGCTTGCTCCTTGACCCGACTCCGTTCCGCGAGTACACCGCCCACAACGCGGACATTCTCGATCTCGCGTGGTCGCAGTCGAACTTTCTGCTCTCAGCCTCGCGCGACAAGACTGTCCGGCTGTGGCACGTTGATCGGCCAGGCATGCTTGCGCTCTTCAAGCATGTCGACCTCGTGACGGCAGTGGCGTTTCACCCGAGCAATGAGGAGGTGTTCATCTCGGCCTCGTTTGACCGCAAGCTGCGAGTGTGGAACTTGCGGACCAACCGTGAGGTGGCGTTGCAGGAGACCGCCGACTACATCACGGCGACGGCAATCTCGCCAGATGGAACCAAGGTGTTTGCTGGGCTTATGAACGGGCACTGCATCATCTACGACCTCGACGCCAAGGCCACCCTCGTTTTCTGCACCTCGCTCCATGTCCGGTCGTCGCGTGGCAAGAACGCGTCGGGCTCCAAGATCACCGGCATTGCCTTTCATCCCGATGGGAGCAAGGTGCTCATCTCGACCAACGACTCGCGGCTGCGAATGTACAACCTCGACGACTGGTCTGAGTTTTGCAAGTACAAGGGCTTTGTCAACGCCGAGCTGCAGATCAAAGCCTCATTCTCGGAGACCGGCAAGTTTGTTGTTACCGGCTCGGAGGACGGGGCGGTGTACATGTACCGGACGGTGCCGACCAACGTGGCCAAGTCGTCGTTCTTTAGCTCCATGCAGCGCAAGGACCGGTCCGAGTCGTTTGAGGCCGTGACACTCCATGACGACGCCGCCACTGTCGCCATGTTTGTCCCGCTTGCTGCCGGTGGCGGGACTGTCACCGACCCGCTCGACGGTGCCGAGGCGGCGCGAGGGCAGATGATCGTCTCGGCCTCGTATGACGGCCTGCTCAAGGTTCATATCAACATGCCTGTTCCGCCAGCGGCGTCGCTCGCCCCGCCCGGAGCAAGCGCCGGCGAGGCGTCGGCATCGGCGTCGGCATCGGCATCCGCATCGGGCGGCGGCGAGACGTCCGGCCGCGGCCACACCCGGTCGCGCTCGCTCTCCAAGTCCAAGGCCAAGCCCAAGGCCAAAGCCAAGGCGCTCTCCCATGCCCGGACCAAGAGTCGCGGCTGATAAACGAGCGTTGGTAAACGTGATCACCCTGCCCCACATGGGTAAGTACGTCAGGCGACAATCAGTTGTGGAAGCATTGCTCGCTTTGTTCGCTGTGGTCGATTCTTCCGCTCGTGCGCAATTGGCAGAAGTCTCTGCCACGGCCTCGCCAGTCAGTCCTCTTCACCCGAGCACACCCGCGCCCGACCATGGTACGCATACTATCCCACCAGCAAAGTGAGAAGCAGTGCCCCCCCCCCCCCCCCCCTCTCCCCCTCTATATATATATATATATATATATATATATATATATATGTATATATATATATATATATACTTCGAGACGGTTTGGTTGTGATTATATATTCGTGGCAAGGGGGGGG